GTTTTCACAAAATCGCATAAGTCGATTACCTTCAAAATGTTCCTTTTAAAACTAGATACAGAGTAAAACTAAATGAGCAATGACTTTTGTGAATCTATAGCTCTGAAATATTAATTTCGGCCGTATGAAATCCATTGTTTAGTTTTGAAGTAGATTATGCACTATATTTAAATAATCTCAAATGTCTCATAATTAGCTAGATAGATTTTTTCAAAAATCCCTACAAATGGAGGCATCTAGTATATAATGATGTGGTACGAAGCATTTTAGTGTTGAACGCTCTGCAAGGCTAAAATTATTTTCTAAACGAAAACAAATATTTCATGATAATCACGTGTTATGACGTCCGATCTCACTAAAAATTACATCAAACATTAATTCAATCTTTATGTGACTTATGTGCAAAAAAGATTTGCAATCGGATAAAACACGTTTATGCACCAGCGTTCCAAAAGTGGAGGGTAGCGGTCAAGCGTGAGGGGGTCCAGCCACCTTAAATGAAAATTTAGACCAAGGATCATTGTTTTCTAAGATTACTCAAGTGCCAAAGTTTTACTCAGAAGTAATTCAAGCATAGTCTGAAGTGAGTGAAATTAGAGTAGAAACAGAAGAAGACATACTTAGACAACCTATCTGGTTTAATAAACATATCATACTGCAGAATGACAGCAAAACTATTAAGAAAATGACAAAAAAAGGAATAACATTGTTACGGGAGGTTTGGATAGGAAAGAAGCCAAGTTGGAATAGTGCTAAAGATATTGGATGGAATGAAAGCGATTACATGTTATGGAGATCCATTTTAAATGCAATACCAAATGAATGGAAGGTAAAGCTAAGAAAACATAATGTTGACAAAAAAAGTAAGCAGATGGAAATGAAACCTAAATATATTTGTATTAAGGGTGATTTATACCCACTGACAAAGGTGAATTCAAAAGTGATCTATAACATGTTACTAAAAAGAAAAGCATGTACGCCAACAGCACAAGCAAATGTAGAAAAAAAATTACTAACCAAAGATATGGATTGGTCATCAGTGTATACAAGAATATTTATCAGTACTATCGATTCGAAATTAAGAGTTTTGAAATATAAAATTGTAAATAACTGTCTCTATCTTAATCAAAAGCTCTATACGTTTGGATTGACTGAGTCAGCTCAACGTAGCTTTTGTTCAAGATTTCCAGAGACAATGCTTCATTTTTATATTGAATGCCCTGAAACGAAGGATTTTTATTTTAAATACAGGGATTGGTTAAAACAGGCATCAATTGACTTCCCTGAATTGACTTAGTTTTAAAAAAGTTTTACTGGGGTACAGTAAAAATAGCTTTGTAAATTACTTATTTGTTTTGTGGAAGTTCATAACGTATAAATGCAGACTTCAGCAAATAATTCCAGTTTTGCAAGATTTTCAGGAAATTATAAGAAATTAATATGAAATACTAGAATATAAGATTGCAAAAAATAAATCAAAGGTATACACACATCTAAAGAAATATGAAAACATTAATCCTTTGTTATAAGAAACAAATGCCTAGCGGACAAAATAGTGACTAAATAAATGTACATATAATCATGTACTTGTAATCTGAATAATTTGTGAGTCATGGACCAGAGGCAGGACTCGCGCTGGTGTGGGGCTTGGCTTGTGGACGGGGGGATCTGGCATGATTGAAAGTCACGGATCACGCAGGTTTGCTTCATTCGCAGGTTGGGCCTCGCATTGGGGTGGATGTTGCATTTGGTCTATGGTTGTATTTGATGTAAATCTGATTCAGTGTATGTATGATTTGAGATGAGATTTAAAAAAAAAAAAGAAAAAAAAAAGCTTATCTGTAGAAATATTAAAAGTTTTGAGAAAAAGTCTTTGATTTGTCAATTTGTCAAAAAAAATGCTTGTCATAAAAAATAATAATATACGCATTGTTTGGCTAAAAAAATACATCTGAATTCTTGAAGAACACTTCTTGATCCATCTTTGACTACATGGAAGTTGTTTTTATTTGCTGTTGGTCTATAATTTGTCCTAAAGCTTAGTTTTTTCTGTGCATTTGAGAGCCGCATTTGCGAGTAGTTTTGCTGACATCAAGCGGGATTCCCATGTTGTGTACACAGACGCCATACAGACGGAAGTGATAGTCAGCCAATAGTAATTTCAGAGATAAAATCACTTATTATGCATTAACATCAAGTCTTTGCTTCGTCTCTTTTAGATAGATTTGTATGCATTTACGAACTCCGTTATATAGCCCCTATGTTTTGGTAAGTAAAAGTCGTTCAATGAATTTTAATAGTGTCATATGAGCTATATTATCGGGTATCCACTGGCATCCACTCTAAACCAGTATAGTATGATATATACTTTAGACCTAAATGCAGACCACCCAATAATGTATCTCATATGATGCAATTGAAATTCATTGAATGACTTTTGCTTACCAAAACAATAGGGACTATAAAGGAGTTCATAATGCATACGAATCGATCTAAAGGAGACAAAGCAAAGACTAGATGTCTTTGTCAACAATTATATGACTTCTTTATATTTCTTAAGTCCAATTGTTTATGGCTCGACAAAAGTTGATTTTTGGAAATGTAAACAGTATGCCCACCTATTCAAACTAGTCTAGTCATACAATGCTTTCAAGTGGTAACCATGGAATATCACTTACACTTCACGTCACTTACACTTTCTAGTATACACATGTCAAGTGGCAAGTGGGCTTTTCAATAGTGTGCTAGGTGAGGAATTATTGTTAGTATTTACTATTTTATCCTTTGACATTCAGCACATGATTCAGCACATGATGGGAAGGAAGAGTGAAATGCTGACGAATACACAACAGCTTTCCTGCTGGTGTCATTGTCATTGTGAGGATTGTGAGTTTTCCAGTTTTTTTTTTCTGTTTGTCTTTGTCTAGATAGAATGTTATAGTTACTTAGCATTGCAAGAGGCCAATTATTTTTGCTAATAAAGCGTAGTAATTGTAGTTTTTGTTATCATGATTAGGAGCCAGTCATTTCAATTAATGCATATCTGGCCCCAGATCCAGGTTTTATACCTGTCCTATAATTTTTGATATCCATGCATATCTCTGTCAATGTACCTTGATGTTTTTGCCTTTTTTTCCAATGATAAATGCAAGCTCTACTTCATAATCCAACTCCTATAAACACAAACACAAAAAAAAAACTAAAAATAATGTTGCAATATGACTCTTAGGTGGTGTTAATTTTGTAACACTACAATAGCCAATGTGCCAATAGCCTGCGTAGCGGCCCTCTGGTAAGGATTTTGGGCGAGAGGAGAAGGGAGAGGGAGAGGGGACTGGGGAAGGGAAAAGGGAAGGGGAGGGGGACTGGGGAAGAGGGGGGAGGGGAGGGCCTGCAACGAAACCCTGTGTATTTGACTGAACGCTTGAAATCTACGATCAGAATTTTATCGTAGAATCTGATTGGTCGAGCCGTTAGAACCAATCACCGGCATGTCACATGTCATACTCACTTTACTTGGCAGCATTAGATAGCGAACTGGAGTATGAAAGTATTATAAACGAATGTATTTTAGAGTTGAAAAATGCGAGAAAAGAAGATTATTTTAATCTAAAAACCATAACAGAAAGAAGCAGTTATCGCTTTATTGCAAGGAGTAGATGTTTTAGCCGTTTTACCTACTGGTTTTGGTAAAAGCTTTATTTTTCAACTTTTCGTGTTGGCCCAAACGAAGCTAAATCATATTCCAGCCGTTCTGGTTATTTGCCCTCTGGTATCTTTAGTTAAAGATCAAGCTCAAGAGGCCACATCATTGGGTATTGAATGTACAGCTATATCTTGTGATAGGGATTGTAGTACATGTATAATGGGCAGGACATATCATCTTTGCTTCAGCAGAACAAGCGCTCAGTCATGAAGTCAAGCATTTATTAAGGAACGGTGAGCTAAACCAAAGAATATGTGCAATAATCGTGGACGAGACACACACTGTGGAGACATGGTCTGGTAATCGGTAAGTAATACACATTCAAGCTTAATCTATCTTGGCTTATATCTTAATCATGTTTTACTGGCTGTAAATATCGTAGGAAATCAACCAAAAAGAAGAAAAAGGCAAAGGGTTTTCRCGAGGATTATGGAGAGCTGTCTATCTTAAGATCACTTTGTAGGGAAGGTGAGAGTTAACAAAGCTTATCACATAATTTATACTGTAAGCTTACTCGTTCAAGTGTTCTGGGAAAATTATGATGTGAAAGAGTCTCATATTTTGTTGTTGTTGTTGTTTCTTTTAGGAGTGCCTGTCCTAGCTCTAACTGGTACGGCTGATAAGACAACCGTTGACTTTGTAACAAAAAGTTTAGCCCTGGGAAGAAACTGCCTCAAGATTTTTATAAGTCCGAATAGAGAAAACTTACGGATCAATGTTATTGAAACAAAGAAGAAATTTGCCTCTTCAAAACTAAAATGGATTAGTGAACTTGCAAAAGAAAATGGTCACACAATGCCAAAGACTATAATTTTTTGCAACACCATCAGATGTTGCTACTGTTGTAAACAGATTACTACTTGACTTGGGAAATAATGCATACTCACCCAGGTCATCCAAAAAACCCAGAGACTGCCTGGTTGGCATTTTTCATTCAAATTCATGGGAAAGATGCAAGGAGAGTATCATAAAAGAATTGAAAAGCAATGGTAAGAAACGGATAATCGTAGCTACAAGTGCCTTGAGCATGGGTGTGAATTTCCCTGATATTCGTTATGTTATAAACTGGGGTCCTGCTAGGAATCTACATGGTCATCATCAAGAAGCTGGGCGTGCTAGAAGAGATAATGTCACATCAGATGTTGTAGTTATTTTTCATGGACAGCAGCTTTCACACTGTGAAGATAATGTTAAGTCATTTGTTAGAGCAACAGGATGTCTGAGGGTTGCAAGCTACAAAGCTTTTGATGAAAGTATCAAGCCACTTGACCAAGGACATGACTTCTGTACTAACTGCAGGAAATCTTGTCTGTGTCAAGGAGACACATGTGCTGCACCCAAACTGCCATTTGAAAAAGATTTTTCACAGTCATATGACAGTGTTCCAACATTTACAAGGCCTGTATCAGAGGAAGATAAGATAGATCTATCTAATGCTCTGAAGGAGCTGCAGTCATCAGATAGAGGCAGGGGACTGCTGTTCAGCAAGGCTTCTTGTCATGGGTTTTCCGAAGAGTTAATTCAGGACATTGTTGATAACAGCTGTACAATCTTCACTCTTGAAGATGTCATGAACTCACCAGTATATTTAATGAAGCATGCTCTACAAATACTAGAGATCTTTGATGAACTTTTTGGAGATATCCCCAGTACATGACATGATGAACCTCTTAGTTAATATCCATCCACAGTTGGAAGAAAGCAACTATGCAGGCATGTATGACAACCTACCTGAGTCGGGTGACGAGGAAAGTTAAAATTGCAATTGATTTGCTAGAATTTTGGTGACCTAAATAATAGAACTGATTTCACTTAGATAATTAAAACTTAAAGTTTCCATGTCAAGGTTGACTGAACTTTATTCATTTATTGATGAAGGTCCACTTGACTTGAAAACATTGTATTATTATCCAAGTGAATTCAGAAAAGATCTATTTGAAAATACCATTTGATTTATAGATAGTCATGGGTTGAATAATTACACATTGTGCTGCAATACTGTTTACCGTACATACACAATATTAGTATTATTGTGCAACATTAAAATAAGAAAGCACTGAACAACAACACTAGTAAGGTGGTTGAGTAATGGATTACAAAAGTACAGGTTATCTACAAACAAGTGTTGTAGCTTGCTTGTGTACTTTAATTTTTATCTATACGTACAATACCAAGTTCGGGTGTCTACGATAGAGGCATAAAACTTAGAACTCAGTTTTAACTATTAGACATTTTCTTTTCATTCTGTTTCATGGAAGTGTGACCACTGTAATCTTGGAAAATCAATCATTGACTGGTTGAAACTAGAAGACTGAAAAAAACATTTTAAATATTTGCAAAATGGCTCGTGACTTGCATGGCAATGTTGGTTGTAAGTTCCAAGCATTTGCTAACTAAAATTAAGATTATGTCCCAGGCACATGCTACTTGGATGTAACAGCTGTCAGGTGCTATATGCCGCTATGGAAATTAGAAGCTAAGGAAATAAATCTATAGCTATGGGAATAAATGTATCAGTTTTTAAAACATAGCATTTTATAATGTTTGCTTTTTTAAAAAATAGGCCAGAGACCACTATTTAATTTATTTTAAACATGACTCCTGGTCGCAACTTCAACATTATTAATGTTAATTAGCTAAATTCAAATTTTTGTTTCAAAAACATAACTTGCTATGTTTTAAACTGGTAAATTGATTCCCATAGCTTTAGATGTTCCTTTATCCACTGATGTAGATCCCTGTAATCTAACGTAATATTGTTAGCTTTGAATTCAGGAAATGATGAGTGACCTGCTCTACCTGAAGAGAAAGTGAAAACATTTTTCTCTATATTAAGATCAGTTGTGATTTGTGAAACAGCCTCTAGTTTGTCTGGGTTTGATCTGTATCCTTTTCTTTGTGGAAGCTCACAGTCTTGGTCAAGGTTTTGGAGCAGCATTTCTTGAAGCTCTAGGGAGTTAGCAATTCTTGCAGCACTTCTTTCATTGAGGTTAGAGCCCACTGCTGTCCACATGGTCTTGAGAATTCGATTCTGTTGCTCTTTTCTCAAATCTAGGGATATGTTCCTTCCTTTGCCACCATGATGCTTATAGAATCTGTTCCATTTAAGTGTGAAAAATTATTGTTTCTTGATCCGACAGAATGTAATTGATCTTGGTCAAGTATAAAAGAATTGCATAAGAATACTTTGTATGACCATAGTTCTTAAAAAGTAGGAGGGCTAACTTGTAGAGTTGAAATAGACGTTCACCATCACCTTCCTTTATGCAGTCATTGAACTCAAAAAGAATTAGTCCAAATGCTAACTTTGCCTGGTGGTAATTGAAAATGTAGTCTACATAACAGTAGATGAAGGAGCACTTGTCGATTCAGCATTATTATTCTTTGTTTCATCAGTTAGAGTCTCATCACTAATGTCTGCTGATTCATTTGTTTGGTGTTCTTTTCTTTCATGTCTGACAAAACAAATTTAAATTTTGAGTATTGCTTGAATAAATAACCAGTTTGCTTGCATTATATTGTAAAGAATGAGACATAAGAATCAAGAGGAAATCTCCTTGAGGTACAGCATAGTATTTAATTATTATACTAAACCAACACACCTGTTAAGTGTGGTTGTTGTGGTGAAGACAAAGTTACAGCCACAGTGACAGAAATATTGCCCCATGTCATCTCTATCATCTCCTTGATATGGACAAACTGTTACATCATGCTGTTTTATTTCATGACTGTTAACAGAAATAGAAGTAATACTACTAGTTAACACATCCTGTACATAGAAGAACAAAGAGATTAGCATGCATGGCTTTTCCTTACTGCTCCATAGCCTTATAAAATGGCCGCTAGTTAGGGTAAAAATTAGCTAGCAACAAATAAAAATGAAATAAAAAATAAGATAACAGTTTACAAACCTGACCCTGGCTGAGTGAAATAAATAGCTTCTATCAGAACCATCAACTCTACATTGGAAGGGTGGTTTGCTCTTTGCTTGAAGATCTGCTGTATCGTTCACTAGACCAAGAAAGTCATTAGACTGAAAGACATATTCATTTACAAATTCACAGCACATACTGTATCATGTAGCCACTTTGCTTGATGGATTTCGGCACCGAACTGTCAGGAATAATAACATTCGGCTTATCTGTTAACAAAAAAAAAACACTGTCTTTTAGCATGTAATGAAAATATGGAGCTCATGAATATTGTTATATTCCTTCATTGACTTTTTTTCTCTGTCATTTTTTAAATGACAAAGTTATTTAAATGTGAAATTGCAGTGCAAACATTAACCTATGAAATAGTTTGCGAGAAATTGTAAATAATTACTGACTAAATAGTCTAGTCTGGTGAGTCATCACGACAATTTAGTGAGCTGTGGAAACAAAATAGTCTATCTTGAGTGTATGGTAAATTCTTGTTTGCTCAGCGCAGCAAGAAATAGACTAATTAGACTAAAGTTATACAATGTACACAACAATTTTGTCACTATTTTGTTATTTTAATTAATAACAAAATTAGAATTTAAATCAAAATTATTAAAAAAAGTCTCTAGAACTATTTCATGGGTATAATGTTTGCACTCTAAAATATGTACAAATTTTATATGCATGGTTAAAGTCACATACCATCCATATTAGACATATGCATCTTGGTCATGAATGCAGCACAGATGTGGGCTTCAACTTCACAGGTGTGGAATTCACTGTATTCATTGTAGTGACTGTCAATGTCCTTGGCTGCATTTGTCTTCCCTGTTCGATTCATACTTGCCATGGTTGTGCTAATCTCTCCGACAGATGCATGATTAAGAAATATTTTGTTTTCTGCCTGTAAATGAAATTAAATATGAGCTTTAGATACTTAGCTAAATATACCTCAACCCTTGTCCTGCCAGTTACTAACAGGAGATAGCAACTCTGGCTCAATGCCAGCTACTTTTGTAAATTGATGTGTGCTATTGTTGGAAAGCCACATAAAATCTGTTTTTAGAGTTAATTTGTGTATATACATTATGAATGAACATTACTTGTCTTTGGCAATAGGTGAGCACAATGCCAATTAATGAGTAAACTGGTCTTTGGCTGGACAAGGGTTGAAAATTGTAGAATTTTTCTTTATATATATTTTTCATTTGTGGTCACAGCATAGTGTGAAGGACACATTGCTAATAATATAAAATTATTATTCTCTTGACAAGAGAATTCTGATTGCTGATGTTCTTTCTTTAATTTCCTTGAATTCTGATGATGATAATAATAAGCTAGCTATTTACACATATACCTTGTACAAGGTAAATTTGGCATGCCAGTCAGCAAACTCTGGATCCAGACCTTCCAGCCTATCTGCGCTGCATTCACCATCTCGAAATGTCCACTTAACATTCCTTGATCTTTCCTCCAAATTTTGGTCACCATGGAATGGTATCATTGTCTCCACACTCGTTCCATCTGCTGACAATGGGACATACTGTGACTGGTTTTTCTTCATCAGCTGTGCCATTTCACCCGCAATGTTTGGATTGAAGAACTCTACACTAAGACAACACTGTTGTGAGAAAAAGAATAAAAAAGTTAATATATTTCATTGACACTTTTTAACAAAGATAAACACCAAATAACTTATAAGAAATGAGAGCTCTTGGTTTCTGCAACAGTATTGGTGTTAAGGGGCAAGGTAATTTGATGATGAAACAAACCATAATAATTATTATATTAATTTTATAATAAAAGTAATAACAATTCAACAAGCAAAATATTTTGATATTAAAATGCACACTCACAGAGTTGGACTTCTTTCCCATTTCCTCAGAGAATTGATGTGGGATGTGGTAAACCACTACTTTGTAGAGTGGCTTGAAAACTTTAAGATATTTTGTGATCACTCTTGATCTGCTCACAAGGATTGCCATTCTATTGACTAGGTTCTCCTGAATTTGAAAATTTGGCAATAGATCAATAAACCAGATCTCTCCTTTAGGTCTCTGTTCATCATGACCAGGGGAAGGCAGACTAACTTTGTCTAACAAAGCATATTGGTGTGTCCAGTGTATGGACCTGTTACTCCTCCTTTTTGACTGTATGTTGGACATGATTTCCAAATCAACATTGTCTGCGACAATCCTAGAGAAAATAAACAAACCCAGTTATTTCCAGTTAGCAGAAGTCAGTACCACAACTAGATCTCAACAAACAATTTTAAATGAATTCATATGTGGATAATGTTAGCTTAATTACTTACTTGTAATAAGGGAGCTTTTCTCCTTTAAGACAATGTATTGCCTCCTGTAAGACCTCTTCAGAGTATATATGGTCATCAGTTGCCGTTGACAACGACTGCAGAACTCTTTCATAAACCTTTGAACTATAGGAGGTATAGCACTTCAGGGTTTCTTCATTCAAGTCAAAACTGAATTCCATTTCCATTGACTCCTCATCCAGTGGTGGTTTTTGCATTTCCAAGACCTGTTCAAGAAGTCGTAAACACCTCTTGTTATCTTCAATTATATTCTTCCACTGCAAAACCTTAGGATCAAATTCTGTCCCATCTTTCGTTGCATTTCAATTGTAGATACTGGCGACATGCAAATTCCTTACCTGCTGAGCCTGGTGATGTCTTGGAAGCTTGCTCCACCATTATGAATAAGCATATTGGAGATTCGATAATCTGCTGCGGACATTTTTGGGTTTCTTGTTCGAGATATGACCACAGTCACCAATGCAAGTTGATTTATAGACGTGTTATTGTCTCTAACTCCGGCAGCTCCCCTTACGCTCACCTCCCAAAATGGACAGTGAACCCTCGCCTCAGTAACAACGAGTTTGTTGGAAAATCCAGCTAGCTCTTCCGGTTGTGTTCCCTTCAAGACGAAATCAAATTTGCTATATTCTTTAAATTCTTTGTTCACTTTCCTTCAAAGAGCAAGTTGTAAAGCCTGCTGTAGGTCTTATCTTCGTGAGTGAACACCGCATTAGCCACTGCTGTCCAATTGCCGTCAACAATATTTCTAATTATTTGGACACACTTGCCATTCGTTGGATTTCTAACATCAACTTTGCCGTTTGGATGAACTAAAACTACTTTCAGTTTTAGCCAAGAACGTCCTTCGCATGATTTTAGACCGTCAATGTTAAGCTTGTTTAATACGTCGTCTGAATTGTCGATTACTAAACGTACGGTTGTGGAATGGTCTGAATCGTCCTGCTTTTCTTCTATACTTGAAAACTTGGTGTAAGTATTTATATGTACTCCAATACCATCTATACCATTATTCGATTGTGCGTCCTCGGACTCAAACAGGCATTTTCGAGAATTCTTTTTTGTTTTCTTTGGAGTTGATACACGACAGGATTTTGGCTCAGCTGGACTTGCTCCACGATCGGGAGTTAACAGCTTACGTTTTTCTGTCGCTTCTGTTTCATATTCTACACTTTGACAAAACTTTGGGTGAACATCGTTTAATGAACACTTCAGTTGTGCCATCAGTTGTTTAGTTTTCACGATTTTCCTTGAACATCCCAAGCATACTTTAGTTGAATGATTACTAGACTTCTTCATTACTAGAGACGCCAAAGTCGACGCACATTTCAGAAAGAACAACTCCAAATGATTCTTTCCTCTGCGACGGCTTGAATACATTTTGAGAGGAAGCATACACTATTTTACTAACATTTCCGACTTTTGTCCTAAAATCCACCTTACAAACTCTACAGTAATTTTCTGGAGACTCTTGAGATGTTCTCTCCATTTAGCGTTTGAAATTTTGACAACTGCATACTTCCAGAACGTTTCCCACGAATTTTTTGTTTCCTGTACACTTCCGACTAATTTCTGATTGGTTGATCTTGACAGTGATAAACAAAAGGAAAGCTTATGCTAATTAGGGGGCGTTCAGTCAAATACACGGGGTTTCGTTGCAGGCCCTCCCCTCCCCCCTCTGCCCCAGTCCCCNGAAAAAGCTAAAGGATCAAGTCGAACAGATCCTAGCTCCCCTCCCCCTCTTCCCCAGTCCCCCTCCCCTCCCCTTTTCCCCTCCCCAGTCCCCTCCCCCTCTCCCTTCTCCTCTTGCCCAAAATTCCCTACCAGAGGGCCGCTACGCAGGCTAATGTGCCAATGTACATATGTACTCCCTAGCTTTAACTACCATAATCTTTCCTATCATTTCAAGTGCCTATGCATGCAGAAAAAAATAACCTATCCAATCTTAATTTCATTAAGTAGTGTATTGTAAATAAGAGAAAATGGAATATTCCAGAGATATTTACTTTTTTCCCAATATGCATATTAGGGAACAGCTGGTGGTGTCACTAGTCATGCTCAGACTTCAGTATAATTAATGATAAAAGGGTAAATTTTAAGTAATGAGTTGCTTATACAAACACATAACACTTTTTGTAAGTGTATAAAAAACATTCAAAAGAAAAAACAAGGGTTCTTGATTTTCATAAGCAGGAGATCTGGAACAAAACCTGTTTCCATAGATATACCATTACTAACTGGTGGTTAATAACATCCCTTCATCGCTAGTAATAAACTATATTTAACACATACAGGGCAAAATTACTCAATGCTGATTGGCTAATGAAAGAGGGCTTTTTTCCGGAATTTGCAGGACCAAATTACTAGATTATGATTGGTAGTTCAGTTGCATAGCAAAGCTTGCAAACTGTAAATTTTTCTTTTTTGCAAGCCAAGATGATTTCATATTTTGCATTGGCAGATGAAGAAATTACAAGAAAACTAAAATTAAAGTTCAAGAGAAAATGAGAACACTTGAAAGAGTGTAGGTGTTTGGATAAATTTCCATAAATGGGCCTCAGAAAGACCACTTAAGTAGTCCCAAATGTGTACAACCTCACCAGCTCCAAATGTGACTTTGAACTGCATTGCTGGAAATAATTCAGCACAATCGTCTTGGTTTGGACTTAATGACTCAAAACACCACTTTACTCGGCTTCTTCCTTTTGATTCTGATTCAGATTAAGAACTTTGTTGGTAGCAATCTAGTTTTGTGCATTTTTTATGGATTTTGACTTGATATTTTACATTTGCTGTTCTTTCAGTTGAAGTACTTTTTTTCAAGATTTAAGCTTAAGTTAACATTTCATTCAGCAATAAGATCCAAGGGAAACTTGCCAAAAATAATATTATTGTTTAACTCTCAGCGATTGATTATATTCTTTTGTACACGAAAAAACCTCAAAGTATTATCAAGTCCAAAGACTAGACGACTTGTCAAGTGAAAGCGTAAAAACTATCAGATTTCATGAAAAAATCTTTGCTTACTTACCAAAATCTTTATTAAAAATACATCTTATATCGCTAAGAATTTTTTTATAAGTATGAAGGTGATTAAACTAAGAGAAACGTTACGAATGAGTCAAGAACTTCCGAGATGTGAATGAGTTGACAAGTCGTTACGCTGTTGTTGTCACAAAACAACTCGTTCGCATCTCAGAAGTTTTGACTCATTCGTAACGTTTCTCTTTCTTTAATCACCTTCATACTTATAAAAAAAATTCTTAACGATAAAAGATTTGTTTTTAAAATAAAGGTATTGATGAGTAAGCAAATATTTTTTTAATGGAATCTGATAGTTTACGGCTTTCACTTTGACAAGTCGTTACGCTTTCGTTTGTCACACAACAACTCGTTCCCATCTCGGAAGTTTTGACTCATTCGTAACGTTTTCTCTTACTTTACTCGACAGCAGTCGCTTTGTTTTAGTTTTTTTAAATATATTTACTGTGTCATACTTGTTTAAGATAGGCTTCACAACTTTTCCTATAAGTAGGCGAACTTTTTTCAAGATTTTTTCATGAATTTGATAGGTAGCATCAGATATCTATAGATAGCCTTCTTGCTGTTGTTGTCACACTTCTGAAGTACTTGACTCATTCGTATTAACGTTTCTCTCGCTTATATCGTCTTCATACTTAAATAAACTTCCTTAGAGGTAAAAGATGTGTTCCTTTTAATGAAATCTTTGGTAAGCAGAGCAGATGAAATCTTAGCAACACTCTTGTTGTCACTCAATACTTTTCTGGCGTACTTGATTACTAATCGCGATTTTTTTGTTGATTAGTTTGCCTTGAGATTTTCATAAAGTTGTGTCAGCCTTTTTGATCATTAAAGTTTTCCTCTTTTTTCATCTAATGCTTATTCTTATGAATCAGTGCCAATGTAATATGTAGGCGAACTTCAGTAGGCAAAACTTATACGTAGGCGAACCTCAGTAGGCGAACCAATGCGTAGGCGAAACAATCGGATACCCGTGTGGCGGAGCCTAGGCAGGAGTAAAAACACATTTGAATTCTGAATAAAATTCTTTTGAACCATAACTAAATTTGATTTGATAGTTTAGGACAAGACAGCATAAGGGCATTACATTGGTTTCAACACGGATTTTTTTTGATGAATTTTGCCCTATATACGTTAAACAGGTAATCGTATGGTTCCTCATAAAATTAGAGATTAATTCCACTTGTGATTTCAAAACTTTCAAAACACTTGTGAAATTAATCCCTAATTTTACTCTGCCTCATACTATACTAATTAATGCCAAGTTTCATTGGCGTCTGTTTGTATTTGAAGAGGACTTCCTTTCACTTTGTTAGAAATTGCTGATAGTCTGAGCACATTTACTAGGGATGTCATCAGTTACTCAATTTGCATATATTAAAAAATTGTCTGAAACAAAACAAGATATTGAGAAACAGGAAATGCCTTTCATATTCACAGAGCCCTACTTAATAAAACAAAGATTGGATGGCATTTTTTGTTGCACATAGGCACTTCAATAAAAACTTAGCCTGCGTTCAGCCAGTATAATTTCCCTTTAAATATTTTGAGAGAAATTATTACTGGCTGAACGCAGGCTAAGAAAACTCTGCCAGGACTTTCTGGCTAGTTCATAATCTTCTCCTATTACTTAAAAACTAATAGAAAACCCTGTTAATTTATCATAATATTATGCTTTGACATTATAATTTTTTACCTTTACTTCACTGTTTAGTATTATTGGGTCACCAGTACCAATAATGGCATTTGCAAACTTGCTGAAGAATACAGGCTCTTTTGGAATTGGTGCATTTTGTTCACGGCAATGATCAACATAATTCATGCCTCCACACAAAACCTTTTCTGGGTTATAGATCGGTGCCTTAAGTTTGACCTCTGCTCTTGAAATTACACCCTTGCCACTTTCTAAAATTCTAAAAAAAAAGTTAATTTTTACTCACAGCATAATTTTGGTAATGAAAATATAGATCTAGGCAGCATAAAAGCAAATTTGTGATATCAGTTTAGATGGAAGTGTCAGGCAAAAAATGATCTACTCTAAGGCGGCACATATTTGCCGAGTTTGAGTTACTAGTACTACTGGATCAATTTGCTGCTAGTACTGTTCCAATATTTACTCATGATTGCTAATTTTAACAAAACTGCAGTTCGATATCTCTTTATCACCCACAAAAACAGACTTTCATGTCTTTTCTTGGATTACAATGCATTTACTGAGAGTTCGACTTTATAACTCACTGTAATTCTGAAATCTGGTTGTCAGTAAGGTGTCGGTAAGTGGTTGGTAAGTGGCTGGTAAGGTGTTGGTTAGTGGTCAGCCAACCACTTACCGACACCTTACCATATGGTGCGGATTGTTCATAACAGCCCTGCCTTTTGTTTGTTTTCCTGCCTTTTAATGGTAAAAAAACTCAAAATCTCTCCTTTTTTTGAAATAACACTTTATTGCGACCCGAGTAAGGCGATAGTCGGAGTTATGCGGGTGCAAAAAGGGCCAAAAACTAGACTTTCGTATGAGTTTTGATCCCAATTTTCGTTTTGGGTTAACACTCAAAACCTTTTTTAAGCTGAGTTAGAAACTGATGTACTATGGATAAAATGCCTGTTTAGAGTGGTATTTTCAATTGTACGAAGATGTTTTGTAGCATTTGTATTAGAATCTTGCTTTGTCAGGCTTTTTATAGAAAATATATGGGAAATAAGCAAATGAAGGCCTAAACCTCATTTTAAATAAAATTTTTGCTTTGGGTTAGAAAGAAATACACTATATATGAAAAAATCTTTTAAAAATTGGCTAGAATCCTTTCTTTTCGGAGTTCTGGTTAAGAAATTTTTCTACGATTGAGATTATCTGGGCCGAGTCTAATCGATCCAATACATGGCAAACCAGGCTGTTTTCAGATTCTTCTTCCAACGTGATGATAAATACAACAATCTCATATCTCAAGGTCCAATAAAAAGACAAGTAAAAAAGTAAACAAGTATAGCATAAACATAAGCATAAACAAGTAAACTAAGAATACTCAAAATATGCTGCTGATTACATGTTATTATGAAGTGATCGAAAATCCAACATGGATTCCTCTACAACGTTTGTGGATTCTTCCAGTGACATCACTTGGCGAATACGATGGATTCCATGGTTACGGGAATTACCCAAAACGATTGGCTGAGAAGCGTTATCCGAAAAATGCGAAATCTAGCCACTCCAATAGCTCTTCACGAGCTAAAAATTTTCAAGGAGTATGTTCAGCTAACTATGTCAAGGTTTTACACGGTGGTTGCACATGGCCAACTTTCAGATTTTCCAATCTTTCTGACTAGATCTGTTTCAGAACTATGCAAGTAATCATCAAAGCAAAAATTCAAGTTTTCAAGGAGTTTCACTAAAATCTTAAAATTCAAGAGCTTTTCAAGTGCCCTTGAAAACATGAATTAAATTCAAGGAGTTTAAGGAGTAGCACGAACCCTGTTGATAACTCTTGAGGAACCAACACATGTGGAACTGGCACAGTTGAGTAGGGACTGAAGAGGGAAATTATAGCCAATCAGCAACTTATAAGAAAGAGTCAATCAGAACGCATACTGAAATCCAGGTACGCTGCTGGGATCAACGGAACAAGAAAGCTGTCGCTGGTTCCCGGACAGACTTAACAGTTAGTTATTGAGAGATGAGGCGGTAGGCTGTGTGGGATGGGCTCGGAAATCAAATGAGAACATGCGTAATAAGTTAATTACGATGCTCATAATTTATCTATTACGCATGTTCTTAATATGATTTCCGAGCTCATGATTTTTTGGGGTTTTTATTCTGTAACGAGTAATGGAGATTTAAAATTGGAGAAATTTTGAAGAAAAAGTGGCACAATCAAATAAATTTAAAATATTTCCTGCATAGCAAATTAGTAAACAAAATAGCAAACTGCTAGCTCGAACTACTCTAATACTACGCAGTATGAAAAGATGGATTAATAAAAATTAAAATTATCCATGAGAAAGGATCATTCTTCCAGAGTCAAGTGGCTTCCTAATAATAGCGGCTTTGTGTTACCCAAAGTTCGTGACCTCTGGGCATTCTAAAAGGATTGGGTGTCGCTTTTGATGCTTACCCGCCACACCTTTAATGTCACATTCATATTTACAAAGACAAATTATACTTAACCATTTCATTTTTCTGTCTGTACCGTAAGTTATGGACTGCAAAATTGACCAATAATAGAGCATGAAATTACCTTGCCATAATTATACATTTACTACTTGAGTCTTTTGTTACAATAAAGTGCAAACAATATAACCGTGAAACTTTAGTAATGCTAAATGGCACAATTTCATGCAAATTCCATTGTTTTCTATTGTTTAATTAGCACTATTTTGTACTATTTAGTAATTAGTGTTTCACGGATTAATTGTTTGCACTCTACTGGACATGTGTGGTATAGAGTGAGGACTTTCAACCCGTGAAATAATAATTACTAGTTGACGTGTAATAGTCAAATAACACAAAAGAAAACAATGGAATTAAGGTCTACTAATGTGTATTAGTCTAATATCTATTTTACGGATTTAATGACTTCATTCTATTTGTACTAATTAACATTGAGTAATTCAGCCAGAGGCTGTTTTAGTAATATTGAACGTTTTAGGTAAGGCCTTGATCAATAGATACTAGCAACTAAAACCGGTGAAATAGTTTTACCTAATAATGAGAGGGAAATAGCAGCTTCTTTATTTAGTAAGTTGTAGTAAACCAACAACTAGTAATTTTTTCTTATCTTGAACAATCACATTGGTGGCTTTACAAAGTCGCTGGGTTTTGAAGCACGAAGAATTGGTTAACACTCATTTACACAGACCAAAAGGGCCTTTGACTGTCAAACGAGCGTCCGCCTCCATTTTGTTTTTACTTTCTTTGGTCAAAAACAGCCTTGGAAAACTTATAAAATTATAGGTAAAAATTTTAAGGTGTTTTTCGCTTACGTTGACCTACCTTTGAGCCTTGGCTTTCGAGTCTTCAAATGATTCTAGAAAGTTTTTCATGTCTGTTGGAATAGACGAGTCCACTGAATGCAGATCAACAAGATCACCTCCATCCACCAATTCCACTCCAACAGACATACGTTCCTTGAATTCAAACTGAACCAATCTCATTTCTGAGTGAGAAAAATTATCCCAGTAGTAATTTACTATAGATCTGTCACTCTTCCTCCAAAACCCGTGCTGTATAAGCTCTTACTCTAGCTTTTATAACTCCTGCAGTCGAATCATGTGCAGTGCGACCACAGGCAGCCCAATATGTGGTTAAATAAAATAATTGGGGAAACCTGTGACGGTATCCCTTACCTCTCATATGCTTGTAATTTGTTTATATTTTTCATTTTTTTAAACTATGATTTGATGTGAGGTAAATGCTAAATAAAATAAAAATAAAATAAAAAATAACTTAGTAACACTAATTACCAAATAGTACAAAATAGTGCTAATTAAACAATAGAAAACAATGGAATTTGCATGAAATTGTGCCATTTAGCATTACTAAAAGTTTCACGGTTATATTGTTTGCACTTTATCTGTCATACAAGTATGTGATAAGCAAACAATTTTGCTATTTGGCTCGCAGTGTCAACGCTATCCAATTTCGCAAACGCTGGCTGGACGCATTGGTTTGGTTGGCTAAACACATGACGTGAGTAAACAGTTGATACACCATACGAGACTCGCATGTTGACGCTATCCAGTTAGCTATTGCTAGCTATTCGCATGTGGTTTGCTACGAACGCTGTTAGCGCATAGGCTACAATCTTGGACAAATATTGGGGGGGGGGGGGGGGGGGGGGG